TCATGGAACTACGTTTTACCATTGTCCGAACCACATTTAGGTACTTAGTATTGCAGAACCACTGAGCCAGCTGAGCTCACGATACGCGAAAGCCATAGTATAAGACCTGATATATGTCTGTAAAGGATTATATAAGTTTGACAAACAAAATTCAAATGACTAGATGGTGGAAAATTCACATCTTACACTGTGAGAAATCACTCGGCCCGAACAGAGATTTGACGACATCGCTCAAAATTTCCCCAACATTGGTTGAGTTGTTAATTCATCTTTTTGTTTTTGATTGCCTCCTGTTCGTCCGCTTTTCGGGGAGAGGCAATACGTCAACAAAGGATGTGGTATTTATTTAAACAGACACGATTGGTTTCATGACCACATTAAAAGCAGCAACAATGCTGCTCACCGTCTGAACAATCACATACAGGCTTGTTAGATATTAGAATAACATTGGACAGCGTTGCATTGCCACATGGCCGCCCAGCTACTCTTGTTAGGTTTGTGTTGAACATGCGGGTAGTGCGAGGTCTGATTGTGTTCGCTTCGGAAAATCGCCTCTCCACATTGGTCCATTTCAAGCTCGAAAGGGATAAGCAAAAACAAGACAAACCAAGTGATCCGTGTACTGAACCGAGCCTCTCTTGAGGGAAGACCATCTGATAAGGCGAAAAGTGGCTCAGCTGAACGACAAAATGCGTGTCATGAATTGTGAGTGCTTCCAACTAATTCATGGGAAGTGCCATACCCCATTCACCACTCTTTTTCAACCATCCGATTTCTAGACTAAGTGGTTTTCAAGAAGAAAACGATGAATAGATCTACAGTCAGTTAGCAAAATCGTTGATTGTTTCACAAAATTTTCATTTATTTAAATTTACACACAGAGTACCTGAAGGCCGAGTCATATGCTTTCAGTATATCGATGTCCTTAGTAAAGGTCTCTTTCAAATTCTTTTAGCCGACTAACGGCCTCCATCTTGATATATGGGTGCGCTAAGTTCAGATAGGTCGATCAGGAAGGTAAGAGTTGGGTGAATAGTCATGGAAATTGATAAGTTTCCTAAATACGGCTAAAAAATCTACAAAGAAAGTTATGACAAATCTTCGGCAACTTTGCGAGAAGTTTCCTTCAAGAAAATAGACTGTGATATCTAAAATATCATACCAACTGAGAAATGAGGCGGCCCTTGTGCGACACATCAAGTTGAATATCAACTCTTACGATAAAACAGCCGTACAAATACCGGTTGGATTATGTGCCTATTTTCGGTCGCTACTATCCGAACGGTAGAACCTCGCACACGAATGTCAGGAGACAATGGACGAAAGAACACAATGTGAAGAGCATCATTTTATTTGTTCCTAATCGCAGCTACCACCAAGGAAGAGGCCAGTTCAGATGTACATTGCATTCACTAGTTAATTCACCCTGAACACTGCGTGTTATGAAGATTCGGTGGTACATGTCTCAGAAAAACACGACTGCAGTTGTTCTGCCTCGGCAGTCGCGATTGAATGTTGCTGTTTGTATTTTAATGTCCCTGTTTCCATCTCTACCATACCTACTGATGATTGTCTTTACTTCAAGTCTAGTACCAGCTTGTTCATTTATATGATCGTGCAGTATTACTCCCTCACGAACGCAGTTAATACAAGAGAAATTTTTTCTTATATCTTGTGAATGAGAGATGAAGCAAAACACCCCAAAATGGGGTGTTATTATCTCTTTATGGCTTCCTGAAGGATAGTTTTAGGTGTCGTTTGTGTGACACTCAGGTGTTTAGTTAACTGAATCTTCCACAGCTCAGAACCAGTAAACTTTGTCCATGGAGTCATCCGCTTTTTCCCGTGATATCGTTTAGAACCAGTCACAAAGAACGGATGGAAGAGGGAAGTTTTGTTATCGTCCGGACCGGGCAGGAGAATCATGTCCACATACTTTTCCACTAGCTCTTGTTGTTCAGGCGTATACGGGTAAAATACTAACAAAGATTAGCTGCATTTAAAACAGTGATAGCCAGTCAGTCCCGCGTTGAATAAGCCAGAAAGTATATGGTCCTTGATCAGTTCGTCATACTGCTAAGCTTCGGTTTCCCTTTACGGTCACGCTTAGGAGTAAGCTGCGCGCTATCCAAGCAACCCACATATCAGGATTAGACGGACGTTCCTGTATAGTACGTGGGACTGTCACACTTAAAAACCTTTCAGACACTCACAGGTCTTCTTGATGATCGTTCAATAATTTGTTTGTAAGAGCTGCTGGGAACTGGTTTAGGAGTGCTGTGTGACACCGTAGGGCTGCATATCAAACAGACCTGCGGTTAGTTGATTTATGGACAGATGAGTGTGAAGGCATCATTCCCCACAGGCAGTTGGGGATCTTAACGGTCGGCATCCTGGGCCAGAAAAAAGCGTTTGTAATTTCCGGAAAATTCCGGACCTTTAAAGGCATCCTCCTAAATTCAACTGAAATTCTCCAGGTCGACACTATTTTAACGTTAAAAAGTTCAGCTATCTTTCCATGTGATACCTAAGTTGACCCGACAGGAAACTCCTGATATCTCATTAGTTGACTCACTATGTAGTTTGAGAGTTTTCATTCCTCACACCGCGTCCCTGATATATCTTAAATTCACAAGTTATCAGATTTTTCTGGGAACACTTCAAAATTCTCATCGAATTACCTTGGAGCATTAATGGGGACGGATTATGAAAAATTTTTGCGGCGTTCAACGAAATAGCGGAGTACAAGCAACAATGGGCTAGCGCAAAAGAGAATGGCGTTCGCTAGCTCATTGCCCGCACAATGAAAACAGAGAGATAATCCAGAGGTCCGGCTAAGCACCATCATGATATCGTAGCTCCAGAAATTAAGATGGTACAACATCCACTCGGTAAAGGTAAGGCTTCAATTCATTTGTCGTCCTCACTATTTTTCTTTCAGTGGCTCAGTTTGTCCTGGGAGGCGAAATGAGTTCTTACTGTAACTCCAGATGGGGCCTGTGTTAGTTGCACAGTCGTTAGACTTGATACAGTAACTGTGATAATTCAGACAAGGTAGGTCCAAACCGCGTGACGTGGTGTTGCCGCGTTCGTTGAACGACGACCTCTAAGAGAAAGGCCGTCGCTCTTTTCTTCTCCGTATACCATGCTAAATTATGGGGAGTTTGTAAACTTGCGACTTTAGTCGGAAAGACACAGATAAGCGTTCCGAACCTTGAATGGGAAATTTACCTTGTTTTTTGCGGTCAGGAATGTTGAACCAAAAATCATTTCAGCATGGTTGCAGAGGTGCTACGAAGCTCAAACGTAAGTGGTATGTGCACGTTAAAATTACGCAACGATGTGCAAAACAGTCAGGTTTTAGGGAGTTTTCTGTATAGTGGTCAAATTCATCTAACTCAGTGTTCCCAACATCGAGATGATTCACTCGAGGAACCATAACATTCTCTCTTCCCTCAAGAAGACAATGCCAAAATCTTAGTTATGTTTGGGTTCCTTTGGAATTCAAGAACGTAATATTTCGTGGAATATCCCAATTCGGTAGGGAGGTTTCTCTAACGTGATGAACCAGTCCTGTTATCGGTTTCAGTGGGCAACTTTCTTATTGACCCCTTCTCCCGATCTGAGATTTCGTTGCCAGTTAATTGCCACCTCTTCTTCTAGCGTATCCATTCGAAATGAATAGTAGCAAGAATCCATTTATTCACCTGTGTAATTATAGTTTGAACAGACTGACCATTTTCCGCCCCCATAATGTCCCTTCATCATGATAGTAGCAAAGGGATCGCCCCGTCTGTTTCGATGTCACAGGTGAGAATGCCTCCGACATCCGTGACACGTGATGAACGCCCCTAATCATTTCACCGAGAAACTGAGATAGTGATTAGGCGGAAAGTCACAGCGATTGAAATCAGGAATAGATTCATTTCGCACCGGATTATGGACTCCTGACGTTAGTCTCTACACTGGTGCCGTAAGACGTTGCACTGATGAACAATTAGGGACAGTTTAGTTGAACAATCGTGACCGGTAGGTTGACTTTGCCTCAGCTGACAGTCTCCCATGCTGATCACAAAGAAACACCATTCATCCGATGATTTCTCGAGTCATTTGGTCATACAGGCGTGAAATTAAATAACCTAACCATAGTGATCCCATCATGTACAATTCGTTTCCATGAAAACGCGCAATTTTAAAATCATACAAACAATGGCTGACTTCCAATTTGAGAAATTTCCCGCAAAAATGAAGAAACAGTGGTTCGGCACAGTCATCCTTTGGGCTTCTGCAACACTCTTCAGCTCATAAACAAGCACATTTTCTTCGTCTTCTCCTGGACAAAATTTTCCACCGAGTCTCACATTTTGTATGCCAACCTTAAAACTTTTTAGTCTGTTGTACTCCGCTTTGTTTGTTACACAGTGCTGCACCATGTGTCGCGACCGGATTTTCATAAATAACATTAGTAACAAGTTCTCACATTTCCATCGGCTTCCAGCACCTCTGGGTTAATGGTTTGACCTGCTGAATTACCACGTGACTTCATTGTTGGGATTTTCTCGGTACCCTGCCTGCAAACCACGTTTTCGGTTGAATACTTTGGCGTCTCACCACGTTTTAGGTGAGATCGGCTAAAATCCCTAATTCGACCACCTGTTAACGGTTAACAGCCTGGCTGACTAAGTTAGGCCAAGTACACCGTTCGAGGAAATTTTTTGGACCTGTAGAGTGGGGTTGCCAAACAGAGAAAAAATCTATCAACACGCGTCTCTCCGACACTTCGGTGGTCCTTCGGCACCCCTAGCTTACGTGTCCCGTGGCAGCCAGTGCCGTGGCGCGTGGGGTCGACACGTCCTTCATTTTCCTCACCCCCCATTGGTCCCTGTCTAGTGCGCGTGCTTATTCTGATTGGTTCTCTAACACTATTGGTGTGATGACCGCTTGTCAGTTCTATATTACCGCGAGCACGGGACCACTTGCTGTTTGCCGTCAACATAACCATGTTCACGGAATCTGGCGTCCAACCCAGGCGGACCTTCACACTTCCGATGTACACATTCGGATCCAGTTGCTACCCTACTAGTTCGGAATTATGTCCCCGTTTGACAACACCTATCAGAATTCCAGGAGTATATGCCACTTCCACACCCATGGCTACGTCGACTGTCTCAGTAAACCCAGGACGGGCACGTCGAGGTCGTAGGTCCACAATACCACCAGAGCAACGGGAAAAAACACGTCGGGTAAGTCCTGTCACTTCTATGGATTTTGTCCTGTGCTTGATTTGTTACCCGGCTATACCCTCGGCACTTCTGGGATTTTGAGCAAGGTTTTGAAATTTGATTCCTAGTGTTGCGGTATTTATCAACGTGGAACTATGCCATTTTCCCTTGAAAATCTGTTTATCCTTGGCTTGGTACACCTCGTGAGATTTGTTTTACCCACTAATCTGTCAAGCTGAAGACATCCCGCATGTTCTTCCTAGGCCTATTCTTATACTCGGCCTAAAACTATACCAACGTGCACAATGTGACGCATTATGAACTTACGCCCACCATTATTGATGCAACTTTCGTGATACGGTGGAATTTTTTCTATTCTCGAACTTAATTAATGATCCAATCACTATGTCGATGCACATCGCTAGGTCAAACTCCCGTATACAATACCAGGCGGTTTCTCTTGGAAAGGGGCTCATAAGAGGCTGCGACAATCACGGTCAGCTCTTTCTCGATGGCATCACACTCGGACCAGCTCGAACTTATTTAGGTTTCAAAGATACATTTTCCATGGAAGTGGAAACATATGCATTCAGAGTTATCACTGTGTTTCTTCGAGGTCAGCAAACAAAGCATTTTTGCGAATACAGGATTCATTGTACCTCCCTGTCCTTATCCTTTTCAACAGCTAAAGAAACAGGATATGGAACGTCGCCGTCGTGCTTGCATCTCGGACAAAATGAACGCGCTGCATAACCTGGCTATGAACATAATCGGACTTGATGTGAGTTTGCAGCATTTGCTTGGTTCACTAACCCTACGATCGTTCAATATTTTTCTAAGGTCGCTATAAGCACAGTGCATGATCGCAGCAACCAGCGATCACTGTAGCACTAAGATGATCTCGAACTGCCATGCACTTTGATCTGTATGTCATCAACTTATCTTTATGGCCTGGTAACAAAAAGGGAGTGTTGTTTCTAGTTGTTTGGACTGAGCGACGCTGTCCTGTCCTCCCACCCCACTACCGACACACGCAAATGCTAGCTTGCTGCTCAGAGCGCGTATTTCATCTGTCACCGGGACGCCTCAGCAGTTGCTGTGCCCTGGTTGTCCTCGTGCTCGACTAGATGCACGTGGTGAAAGATGGAAGCACATGTACGTTAATTTCAGATTGGCTTGTGGCCAAAACACCCAGATTGGCAGAAATACCAAGGAATCGGACTAGTCCAAAGCTAACAAAGCTCCCCATGTGAAAATGATAGTACCAGCTAGTGACAAAAGTAACGGTAATAAATAGAAGTGCTACAGCTGACCGGAAAATACCGCGTAAACCAGCATACTGATTTTGTCCAAATTTCACAGCTGCTTTAAATTTATCTAATTTTACTTTATTTGATTTATCTAATTCAACCTATTTTGGTTTTCAATCTTTCCATCTTACAGGCACACCAACAGCAAAAGCAAGAGAAGGCCGATATTCTAAATACATGTTACAAAGTGTTTGAGGCGATTGCACAGATAGTTCACGAAGAACCAGGTACGTTGGCTTAATCTATGATCCCTATAGATGTTTACATTGCACTGCCGTTAGAGTTCCTCGCGTCTTGTAAATTTGATAGTGACATACGGTAATATCTCAAGATCGTGCTCCTAAGCTCAACGACACCTTAGATTATGGTTACTTGACTACTGTGTAGGGCATTTGATGTATTTGTGGTCGTCTTGGCTTCGGAGGATATCGTGAATACTACTCGAAACAAGAACTCAGAACTCGTGAACATTCTTGAGCAAATACATCCATTTCAAACTAAGTGGGTGTCAACAGGAGACACGGCATACTCCTAGCTGAGCCTCTTATCTATCTTGTTCTTCAGCTGAATATGCTGTACAAAGACTATTGCGTCTTTCAGTAGGATGTTCGATATATCGTTCGATGAAATACATCGATGATTTGCAAATGAGCGTATTCTACGTTTATGTCAAGTAGAACAGAAGGTTGACGGGAACCAAGGGACTTCGCTAACCTGATGAGCCCCAAGAATAGCGAAGCCGTTGATGGACTGTTGAAGAGCTTTTGACAGTCTGATGAGTCGTGTGTTCCATCATGGTGAACATTCTCTTTGAAGGACATTCTGTTTTGGGCATCAGAGAGTTGCATCTCAACAGCGATGTAGCCTTTTGTGCTATTATAGATGAAGAAACAGCTTATCACCAAGTAGTGGATACAAAGTTTTGGCCATTTAGTGATATTCCGTGTAATGGACATCTATGCAGCATTGTTCATTGTAGAGTAAGACATCTCCAAGTGATGGTGAGCATGCTGTTTCCATTCTGAACTGCTTGTGCTTGAGGTTATATAAATTCCAATTTGTTGAAGTGGCGTGAAAGCCGTACGTTACTCATGTACTACCATAGGTAAATACAAAGACAAGAAATACCACTGTGGTATATGCACTCAGAATGTATTAGTGTCATATCGATCAGATCGCTCGTCGTGCTGCAAAAATCATGCAACCAGCATTATATACACTTTTTGGATAAAATCGTTAAACAGAATTGCTCGTATCGATAACCCATGGAGAAAATCTTTAAACCAACATGGAAACATTGCGAGGTATGCCGTCAATTCTAGTATAATGTGAAAATAATTTGCAATTGAGGTTCCCTCTCCGTCGGCGTTAAGCAATTCACTTCATAATTCACAGCATAATCTATATTTGATGATAGTTCCACAAGCTAAATTGCTTTCTGAGATGACTGATTCATATTCGAATTTTCATATGTGGGTTAAGTTGATATAAGCGCTTCAGGTTATGTGATGCGACCTGCTATTGGTAAATGCGCCAATCGTTCGCTTTAGAATTTTTCTGACATTCTATTCGATTTCACTTCATCCAACAGAACTGCAAACGCGAATACACCAGCTCCGTTCTATTTGCAACGCACCAGAACCCTCAGCTGGTACCTCCTTGCCTCCGGATGAAAACACACAAAGCAGTGCGTTCTCGGACGACCTACAGAGTTCTGATTCTGAACATAGTTACCCCGCATCTCGCACTTCCGAAATGAAAGAGAATCGATCTCAGTCTCCTAGCTTTGGATATCAATCTACGCATTCTAGAAAACCTCTAACAGAGGTTCATATGAATATCCGCAATGAAACTAATTCATCGTGTAACACCTGCACTGATGGATCTCGATTATACGACAGCGGTATCTGCAATTCGTTCGGTGAGAACATATCTGTTCCGGGCTCCAGCACTCATCACCAAGCCACCCATAAGTTTAATCCAAAGACAGATATGAGTCGAAAACCTCGCATTTCCTTAGAGAAACCCCCGCTCCAACACCTGTCACCATGCACGGAACTCAAATTCACCGGATCTCAAGTAACTCCTTCCAATTCATCCGCTTTCCGAGTTGTTCAGGGTGCAGATATCAAGCCAGTGTCCAATTCAGTGTGGCGTCCATATCTATGATATCAAAACATGAAGTGAAACGTCTACACCAAACCTGCACGCATGTACATACTTTATTCCTAACCAGATTTCAGATTTATTTCTCAATAAAATAATATTGATTTCGCTTGCCCTCTTCAAGTCTATCAAGTACATCCTGGTAAAAAAAATAAGATTTCGTATGTTAGAAACAGCACTGGAATACGACCAAAAGCCCTGTCATGCAACTTTACCGACAGTACCTCGCTACGCTGATCTTCCAGGAATGACCTTCAGGAGAAAGAGCGTTATTTGGCCTCTCCTGGAAGCCTCGATTGCAATGGGTTCAGTAGCAAATAGGAGAGTAAGATCTAAACAGAGTGGCGGCGGTAGTTGCGTGATCAACCACTGTGGAAGCGAAGCGAATGTAGACAAGTGAGCTCCGAAACGACGAAATGTTGTAGGTGGCTGATTCATTGAGCTGTATGAGGGATCAACGGGGTAAGCGTGCGCTCACGTAAGCAAATTCATTGTTATGATCGACTGTCTGGTAGGGAATGCTAATATAGCCTCAGGTTCAAATATAATAGTATGTGAAAACACAGTTGACTCAGCACGTGGATCAAATTTTTGTCTATACAATGATCTGCTTCAAATTGTTCATAGTTAACATAATGTCAATAAGGCTTTGGCATAAAAATACGTCCTGTTGAACCACAGAAAATGCTTTATCATGAACGCTTTCCGCACAGTTTGTTCACCACATTTTGTGTAACCAGGTGGCGCAGATGTATTTCATCCACCGTGAAAGATTGCTGCTACAATGATTTGTTTTGTGGTTGATTAGGAGAAGTAAACTTTCTAGTCATCAAATCACAAACGGCTACTTCGTGAAATACTGTCCAGACGCCGTCCTATAAATTGAGTAAACGAGAATCGCTAACCTAATTAAACAGAGCTAAACAACGACTGTTGGTAGAGCGAGGATATATGACTGCCATGACCTCCCGGTTGTTAGTTTGAGCACAACCATTTAGCTACGAACGGTTGATCAGCAGTATGACTAACTCACCCTTTCATAAAGGAAACTACGCACAAGGTTGCTGAAAACTCTTCGGCTGTTTTGAAAATGAGTGTATTTTTCGAAAACAGCTCAATTTGGGTCCAAGTAGAACATAAGTTTGACTGAAACTCGGGGACTGCGCCTACCTGATGAGCCCCAAGAAGGACAAAACCGATGATGGGCTGTCGAAGAGTTTTCAGCAACCTTGTGAGTAGTTTCCTTCATGAAATTATACTGCGATATCTCGAATATCGTGCCAACTGAAACATGAGGCGACCTGTGTGCAGCACATTCAGTTGTAGAATATCATAAACGAGGGATTCGGTTGAGTTTCTCATGAAAACCAAATTGGTTTGTAAATAAGTGTATTTCTCGACCACTCATTTCGTCTCGTGAGATGCACATTACTGTTGATTCGCAAGAGGATAACACAGTTTCTCGGCTTATCAGCATAGATTGACCTCATTTACAAGATGAAATCTCTGTCGTAACCACGATTGTTCAGAGAAGGTTTACTCTGTCGACTAAACCACTACGGCTGATCAGTCTTCGCTGATAATTTCATTATCCCCTGTCAGTTTAACCACTTCTGTGCGTTAACATCTCAGTGGAAGTAACGCCTCAGGGAAAGGAACTTCCGGCTTCTTCTAGAGGGCCACCGCCTTACTCAGCCAATTACCAGATCCTGAAAAGAACACCTTCGATGTTCTTACCGACGTCACAAGAGCACTGCGTAGGGATCACATGCACATGAACTATGCCCCGTTGATTAACTCTACTATTCACCTAAGATGATGGCAGCAACTCCCTTCAGCTCGTGACGACATGTGGACCACTCAATCATTATGGAGAATTGTGTGTCATTCAGAGAGGGGGGCTGAAAAAGCTCCAGACTCGTTGTATTAGCAGCTGTCCAGTTCCAGGCATACATTAACCCAACTTGTCATGTCACGCAGGTCCTTTAGTGAATTAATGTATTCGGTTTGTTACTACTGTGCTGTTAGTACAAACATTCTCCTCCTGATGACCCCGTGTCACATCTTGAGTGCCAGCTGGTGTTAAGTGGGCATGTAGATTGCGTCATATCTGGCAGCTTGCACGTAACAATGCAAATGAAGTGTCTGTGTGGCACTTGAGTGTGTTGGTGGGCCATATGACGACGTTGGCCAATGTCGAACACAGCAGTAGGTAAACAAGTGAGACAATGGAGCGGGACTGTAAGTGAAAAGGGAGGGATGTCAATGGGCTAATTCACGAAATCCATGGTCAACCCTGCAGCTCTGACCATCCAACAATAACAGGCAGAGCAAAGATGCAAATTGTTTATTTATTCAACTGTTCATGGTGCGCCGATCCCTTCAACTATTCACGTGTAATTAGGCTTCGAGCTCCACAGTTAGTGCATACAGGAAAGCCTTGAAAAGGTAGGCGAAGACACCTACTTGTGTAGCCTATCCAGTGTAAAGTCCTAGATATCTTAAAGTTTCGGAGTAGTGATGGAGTTGTGCTTCTTCCATTGGACAAAAATGGCGGTACTGAAATCTCAGAAGTCCGTTGAAAAAGCGGCCAGTTATCCATTCGTTTTAATTTCTTAAGCCATCCAACTAAAACTTCATTACGAGTAGATAGGGACCGGAGTTTGCAGAATCTCTGGGGCACCACACTGCTCCTGAACAACAGCACATACTTCGAGTTCCATCAATTCCTGAAGTATTTCCTACAAAATCTATCGACGTGTAAAACAGCAGCTATGTGAAGACGATTTCAGCCGAGAGCATCCTTGTGTCCCAAGTCTACCGTTTCTGTGCGCCAAACTGGTGGATACGGAAGTGTCAGCACATTCAAACACGGAATGGGATTCTCGATGTAGCGAATCCTATGCATGACTTAGGTCTACTGACTATCCGAATAAACAGAAAAACACTGATGTTTCATAACATGGATTATATTGTGCAATAAAACAACAAATATATGCGTAAGCTACTTATACAGCGAAATACCTTGAGCAGCAAGTCAGCGAATGTAAAAATAATAGGACGTAGGTCCAGATAGACAGGTCCACACATAGTCCTATCGTACGCCAAGTTATTTTAAACAGGGCGTGTAGAAACCAGTAAAACTAACAATTCGGCACACAGAAATTGTTATATAGATGCAACATGAAGTGTGTGCTATACGATGAGCTCACTCACCAACCATCATCACCACTATTGTTTACACCTGCTGATTTTGGCAGACAGTCCATACCCTTCTATCCAGTTTGAGAGGAAAATACCCGGACAAACATAAATGTGGAAACAAAAATCTCACTCCATTGTTGTTGGTGAACTTCACAATCGCTCATCAGATAATCCCAAACCTGTGCACCAACCCCTTTGTCTATGTTCAGCTCAGGTGCGACAAAATATCTCAGCCAAACCACCATCTCCCCCGGTGACGAGACATAGATAACAATGAGGGTAGGTAAATCTCAATTCGTCTGTCCCTTTCGTGTACCATATTGTTGCCAGACCAACGGTAGTTAGGCGCTTCGTGATTGTGCTCACATTTAAACAATCGTATTGCACATTCAGATTGGAGGTTAGAAATGCTATTTTCAAGGAGTTTTGCTCAAACATAACTAGCGAGTCCGTGAATGGCTACCGTTTCGCCTTTACTGGGATTCATTGTCGTTGGACAATTGGACTCAAACGCTGGAACAAGGGGATTGTTATTATTAGAAACTCAAACACAGTTCACTAAAGCCGCTATGACGGACAGGTACCCGGAAATCTCAGCACGCGGATACTTCTACCAGCTAAGTTTCTGCTCCAAACACAGCCACCCACTACCCCGGTTTATTTATTGCTTATGGTCTATAGAGGTCAGATTGTACCCTTCTTCTCATGCAAATCACATTATGCCCTTAAAAGACCAATGAAACGAGTCCACAACTAATACACAGACGTTTAAGATGAAGAGATTGAGTTTTTTTCTTATCTCACGTGGGTCTTGACGACAACTTATAGGGCCTGGGTTCTACCTACACACGAGTGCCTCCAAGTTGCTTGCTAACCTTCATTATGATAAACTGTACATATGTTATTTCGGAAATAAAGACGCAAAAAGCAGAAACACTGTTCATAGACTACTAGTTAGAACAAACCACCCTTCTACTATGTAACTCACCTAATAGGACGACAGGGTAATTCGAGTATCTAAGCTAGGGGTTTGAGTGGGATAAACTCAAACGAAAGGACCAACAGTTTAACGATGGATATAGTGATGATACACACCAGAAAGCAAGTTCATTCAGTCTATCGACGTACGGGCTAAGATGTGAAGTTAAATGACGATTGCTTGGTCTGTGGGAACCTGAGATAGAATTAGCAAACGGTCTAGGAGAAATGACCGATTGAAAGATATTTTATCACTTTTGTACATAGGTATTGGTCAAAACAAACAATGAAATTATATGTTGGCTACGTTTGTAATCTTTTTGGACATTCCAATGAAGCGTTTCTAAAAACCCAGCCGGTTGAACGATATATAACCCGTTTACCTTAACTCTGTCTTCTTTCAAACGGTGTAAAATTCTGAATGGAGCGGCCTTGGGTGTGGCAGTCGATGTGGTCTCGAATCATGCTCGAGAAGCCGGTGGATCCTCCCCTGGGAGTGACCTGGACAGTATGCAAGTGACAAGCTCATCGCGCACTTTTGCCCAGGCCATCAACTAGGGGTTACTTAGATCTCAGTGCAGATAACTCCGAGATATGGCCGTTCTTGTGAAGTACAATCTCACTCTAGTAAAAAATAGCTGTTCTTAGCTGAAGAAGACCTGGGTCTGGGCGACGGTGATTTAGTTGATGCAGTGGCATTCACACAAAACTCGAACCAATCACCACTGGACAGAAGAGTCAATCTTTGTTAAAGCGGCCACAATTGATGAAATCTATTGACAACAAGTTCACTTATTGGCGGAATCTCTTGTCAAATTTCC